GAGATTAAAATGATAAGCGTAGCTATTTTTGCTAATACTGTGTGTTTTAACTTAAGTGGGCCTATATAAGCTTATGACACAATGCCCTAGGTCAGAAATACATTTGTGCTACGTGATTTTCTGAGTTCCCTTCAGCTGCCACCTTCTCTTTTCCACTTCATAGCTTCTTCTTCACAAATTTCACCAAAGTGATCACCTTTGGTCATGGTTCCTTCACCAAAATAGTTGAGTATTGTGAGGACAAGCCTTGTGTGAGTAAAAGATCTTGATTTTCTGAGTTTAGGCTGCTGTGTGAGGGGTTTTGTGGGCTGAGTTGGTGTTCCCATTGGTGTGAGCCTTTGTTCATGCCATTGGAGGCTTCAAGGAGCCATTTTTTACGGTAAAGGTCCAACCTTGTGGTGTATTTTCGTGCTCTTGCAAAGTCGGAATCATTTAGCCTTGTTGAAGAGCTCCAAGAGCCTTCTTTTTGCTGAGTTTGAACCTCCATTGGTATACCTTGAACTTTCCTTTGAATTTTCATGAAAATGGCTTGTTTATGTTATGAAATGAGTTAACTTTAATTATTCAAGCTTAGGGTTGTTAATCTAAGGCTAATAAGTGGTAATGAACATCTGTTTTGGGTCAAAATCGAACCTTGGGTCATTGGGTGCCATTTTGGCTTCGGATTATGCAGAAAAAATCTGCAGAAAACTGTTCTGCCCACGTGGTAATCGATTACTTTTGGTTGGTAATCGATTACCATGTGCAGTAATCGATTATCTTGCTGGTGGTAATCGATTACCATGTGCAGTAATTGATTACCAGGTCCTTGGTAATCGATTACCACCTGTGAAAATGACCAGAAACCAGTTTTGTGCGTGAGACAGTTCCCATTTGGGCTTGATGGCCTAGGAAGTTGGTGTTACTGTTGGGAAACAGTGATACCTATAATTAAGGGACTTAGTGCTTGATAATTATGAACTAGAAAAGATGTAATCGAATAAGGAAATGTTGTCATAATGAAATGAACCTTTAGAGTATGGTTATTGATGATATTTCTCATATAAACAGATTGTGATTGTGCTGTTTGTGGGTCTTGAGCTTGTGCGGACTCTTGGCTTGGATAGTTAGCTTGCAAGGTAAGCTTTCGTGTACTCGGTTTAGCCATGTTGTGGTTCCACCATGTCCCATGGGGGTATGGTTTTATGCATGCTGTGTTACATGCTTTTGATGATTTGGAAATGCTATTGAGCTGTTATATGCTAGTGCCTTGTTGATATGCATGTGGTGTTCCACCTATACGGTAAGCGTGAGTATGTGGTACATACAATATGGTGAGGCTGTGGGTGAGGTGCAAGCAGTGTTCCTTGTACTATATGTAGGTAATAGACGTATTCCTACATTTCTCTGGCCAGTAGAATAGTTAAACACACATGGCATGAATATCTGTTTCACTGCATAGTTTTGGGAACTTATATTGGATTACTGCTTTTAGAACTTATATTGCACATGTAAGTGAGCTTGGGGTGGAAGATCTTTGAGGACCCCTTGTCTTACTGAGATTTCTGGTTTAGAGATCTCACCCCACGTTTGGGGAATGCTTATTTCAGGTTCAGGTAATGCGGGGGTTGAGACCTCTAGTGGCAGGAGGCCAGAGCTTAGTTGATAGATGTTACATGTTTATACTGCTTATGCTGATATGCTGTTATGATTGGATGCTGGATCCTATTTACTGTCTTATGCTTTTAGCTTCAGTTTATGGATTTCTCTGTTGAGACTTTGTTGGTTATATTGTTGATTTGGTGAACATAGGGATTGTCTATGCCACATAGACTTGATTATGTCTTGTTTTATGTTGGAGTTGTAATAATGTATTAGGATTATTGTCTGGACTACGTGTAGTGGATCCGTGACATAGATACTCGCTTTATCTATATTATGAGGTATTTCAGTTAGATGTCTATTTCCAACTTACATACAGGCGATATTTTATGAAAATGATTAAGTAATCAACTTGACTAAGTATAACGACGTTATAATTGAAAAGAAAAGATATTCCGCATTTTTAATTAAGCGCAGCTTAATACGATGATATGTTAACAAACCGGATATATACGGGGTGTTACAAGTAGCAGAACCAGTATCTACACTTTTCGTCAGAAAAGCGACTTTCAGCATATAAAACAGTTACCAAAATTATTTAAGCTTTAAAATAATTATTAGAATTAATTATGGAATTATTTCCTAATTTCTCATAATTAATTAATTAACTTCCTTAATTAACGGTGCAGGTTCTTACAAAGTCCATATAAGTGGGAGGACCCATGAACCCAATACCTTAAGGTTTTGGGTTATGACATAGTGTCGGACTCACTTGATGTGGATGGTCTAGTTTAGTCCATTAGTGGTGGTCCCCTGCCACGGGCTCCTCCTGGACCTGCCTGGCAAGCGCCTCTTCAATGGCTAATGAATGGGTGTTTACAGGTGAAGGAAATTCCCCAATGATAAATGAGAAAATGAGTCATAACCATTCTGCCATAAGGAGCTCTATTGTGTAAGGCAAGCACACTCACGTGGACGTGAGGTATGAGCTGTGCTGGTGTAGGACAGTAAATTCCTCTGTAACAAGGGTTTAAAAGTTCCACTTTAGGTACATGGAAATGACCTCATATGAATCTTAATGGCCGACCAATAAACTGGGCTATTATAATCGGTCCATAATGAAAACCTAATTAATAAAAGAGGAACAAATCTTCAGTACTCCCGTCCCTTGTGCACCACACCAATGAGAGTATGACACATGACATATTTCCTGAAGAGAGGCGGAAAAAATAACTTCAATATTATAATTATATATTCCCCGAAATATATAATTTACAATTTCATTTTGAACTATCGTTCCACTGAATATTCAATGGGAGGGGAATATATTAGATTTTTCCATGAAAGAGCGTAAACCTAATTAGAAGAGAGGGAAGTGTGAACAAAACAATAAGAATTATGGATCAAACAAAGAAAAGAGAATATGTCTTTCTCCATCTTTTCATTTTCTTTGGTTTAAACTTTATCCGCAATCAATCTCAGATGTATGAAGATTAAAAATACCACCTTCATATCATCCAGTATCATCAATAAATTGCATGACTTGGACTCTTTTCTAGCCAAGTTGACCGTAAACCTAATATTCATAATTATATTCTTTCATCAACATTAGTAACTGGTAAACTACCATGTGTCACATTTGTGTTAGTCTGTTACATACCCAAACAGAGATAGAAAGAGATGGGAAAAAAGGCAGATGGAACAAGAGGCCTGAAGGGTGACATAGTTATTACTTGCCAAAAATTGGTTTGGTCTTGGTTTTCAAACAAATCATGATGTACTCCTTCTACAAGCTGCTATCAGATACACGACTGAAAGCCATTTCTCAACCTCACTTTTTTTTGTGATCTAAGCATCCGCATAACCATCTTCTAGTTCCTTGGCCTCTACCATCATGCTACGTATTTCATGCAAAAAATTGTTTTCTATTCTGTCTAATGTGCAGACAAAGATCGATATACTACTTTTAAAAAATATATATAGAAATCAATATAATGATGAACACCTCAATCATTATGCTTATCACTAATAGTCCAATGATTAAGGTTAGGTGTCTAATTAGTTTCATGTATTGGCACATGAACCTCTTTAAACTAATTCCTATGCAAAGTGCTACCTTTAGTCCTCTTCTTTTTACGTGTACATAAATACATTAACAAATTAAGACCAATTTTCCAATTACAATACACTATAAATTTAGTGTATTCATATACTATAATAATTTTTTTATAAAATGTTGAAATGTGCACGTGAATATAATGACAAATGATAAAACTATAACAATATTAATTTATATGTTCTTTACTAAGTCCACTTTTAATTAACGTTAGACTTGATTATTTATTATTCACCTCATCCAACCAAGCTATTTACTTTGATACCCCTTGTTAAGTCAAGTATATATTTATGGAGGGTCCAAACGGGGGAGGCCATCAACATTAATAAATTAAGGAACCCAAATAACAAGAAGTGACCCAATTCCAGATATCAACCAAGTACAAAATTAAGTTTATACGTCATTTCGCTTATATATTCGTTACTTAATTCTTAATGTATTATTTATCACTTGTACTTACATTTCTAACCAAAGTTAATTGTAAAAATGTTATAATATATATATATTCAAACACTATAATAGTATTATAGTACATTATATAATTAGTCAGAAAGAAAAATAAGAAACATAATACTAAGCTTGAAATTATCACTAAATGTTAATTACAGTGCACGAAACAAAGTATAAACAAATCATTTATATTAACTTCAAGCTAATAGCGTGCAGCTGCAGGGAAAAGGCTCTTTTAGCTGGTCAGCCCCAGAATGACGAATGTAATTTGTGACAATAACTAGTTCACCCTTCTTCTTGTTCTTTTTTTTTTTTTTTTTCAATATATCAACTCTAATTATTTCTTTTAGACAAGCCGGCCTGAGGTATTCTCAAGTTCAATTTCAACCGAATACATATTTAGAGAGAGACAATGAGATTTAAATTTAAATTTAAATGTGACTAAGCCAATTAACAACTTTCTAGATTAATGCTTAGCTAGTAGAGAATATAAAGAAATATTTGAACCTCAGAATACAACCAATCAGCCAATTAACTCAAAGAATTAGCATTTATCCGAAAAATGTCTCTAATTAAGGACTTTAATAACTTCACTTCCAAAAGAACATGGTATACATGCAAGATACCATGAGATCGTAACATTATTTTTTTTCTTTTCTCTTTTCCCCTAGCCAAGCCTTAATTTCCAAGAATGCTTCCATCACTCACCTAACCTTGAATAAAGGAGGTAGCAATGCCTGCTGTGTCAGCCTATATAAGTGTGCGTTGGTCAGTCATCCATGAATGCACTAAAGCACAGAAGTTGTATGGTAATTAACACAAGACTAAGGAAAAAGGGTGGAGAAGACTCAGTAAAATGAATTATTGTGTCAGAGTGCTACTTCTCATGGCTTGCATTGTTCCTGCTTTGGTCGAATGCAAAGTGAGGCACTACAAATTCCATGTAAGTAAACCATTCGTTCTTGCCTCCCTAGGGGTTCTTTGTTTCCTGCATTTTAAGAGTGCAGGAGCTTAAACAATAATATATACTACATATTCAAAATGCATACAATTCATGCTTTTATTCTGCCTTCTTAATCATGAAGTAGCTTTCCTATGAACATTATATTAAGTTCTACTTAAGTTTGAATTATAATATGAAAACTGTTAGATTTTAGATTGGCATTTTGTGTTCAGTACTAAGGAGTTCAACTATGCTACTTCTTAGTATATAGCTAAGCCAAGGGCCAACAAAAAGGATATCCTATCATAACCACCTTGAAATAGTGTATAAATTCAATGGCAACCACAACATTATCTTCTATAAAACATTATAATAACATAAATTTTCATTCTCTATTTCTAGGAGTGTGCAGGCATTATTAGAGTAATCTTTATTATTAGTCTTGAAGCTATAATTTTCACCTAAATTCAGTCATAAATTTTGTTAAATTCGAAGCATAATATAATTTGGGAAATGATCTGTTTACAAACTTTTTTTACAAATTACATTAAGTATGACTGGTCATACACTCTTGATTAAAGTATGACCGGTCAGACATAGTGTAGTTTGTAAACAAAAAAATTTGTAAATATAATCTTTCTCGTATAATTTTGTGATTCTAAAATTATAGTTATCTACATGGAAGGTAGACCTCCAAATCATTACCTGAAAATGGTTAATTAGTCACTTCTTCCAACCACATGCACACTCTATAAAAATTTACTCAAGGAAAATGGTCCTAAGGGCTCTGGCATGCCTGATTTTGGTGATGGGAACAGGTGGTGCTGAAGAATACCACTAGGTTATGTTCAAGCAAACCAATTGTCACTGTTAATGGGAAGTTCCCAGGACCCATTCTTTACGCCAGGGAAGATGATACAGTACTGGTCAAAGTCAGAAACCTTGTCAAACTCAACGTTACAATCCACTGGTGAGACTTAAAATACTTCAATTTTATTTGCTTCAAGCTGCAGCAAGTATTATATGAAAGAAATGAATGTTATTAAAAAATGATTTTATAAAAAAAAGCAAAAAAAAAAAAAATCTTGAATGCTAATTGGATGACTATCTTTTTGGCAGGCATGGTGTCAGGCAATTGAGAAATGGTTGGGCTGATGGACCAGCATACATCACACAGTGCCCAATCCAACCAGGACATACATATGTGTACAACTTCACCATTACAGGGCAAAGAGGAACACTTCTTTGGCATGCACATGTTAACTGGCTAAGGTCAACTGTCCATGGTGCTCTAGTTATCTTGCCAAAGCATGGTGTGCCATATCCTTTCCCCAAACCAGATCATGAATTGGTTGTGATATTAGGTGACTTTAAATAATTAATACCCTTTACTCCTCCAGATTTTCCTGTTCACTATTTTGCTCATTGGTCCTCAAACTAGAATTCAAATTAAAATTCATTATGGTGATAAACTGCAGGAGAGTGGTGGAAATCTGATACTGAAGCTGTTATCAATGAAGCTCTCAATTCTGGATTGGCACCAAATGTCTCAGATGCTCATACCATTAATGGCCTTCCAGGGACTGTGTCTGTTGACAATTGTTCTACACAAGGTACTTTATGCTGCTTTTCTATTCTCTTCTGTTCTACACAAGGGAGCGAACCGGAGCAGTGGTAAAACTGTTCCTTCATGACTGAAAGGTTTTGATTTCGAATTCAGAAAACAGTCTCTTTGCAATTATGCAAAGGTAAAGTTGCGTGCAAAAATTTCCTCCACCCCACACTCGCTAGTCGAGTTTAACGGGGAGTGATTTTTTTTTTTTTTTTCTATTATCTTCTGTTCTCTCTTTTGTGTATGGTTGTCATTAAGTGCCAACTTGGTACGCTTGTTTAATTTTCCTCCTTGATTGAATATAAGTAGATGTGTACAAGCTTTCTGTGGAAAGTGGCAAGACCTACCTATTGAGAATTATCAATGCTGCACTCAATGAGGAACTCTTCTTCAAAATTGCTGGCCATAAGTTCACTGTGGTTGAAGTTGATGCATCATATGTAAAGCCCTTCAAGACTGACACTATTGTGATAGCCCCTGGCCAAACCACCAACGCCCTTTTAACTGCTGACAAAAAATCTGGCAAATACTTGGTGTTAGCCTCTCCTTTCATGGATGCTCCAGTAGCTGTGGACAATTTGACTGCTACAGCTACACTGCACTACACTGGCACTCTTGCTAGCACCCCTACAGTCCTCACCACCCCTCCTCTAAAAAATGCTACCCAAGTTGCTAATAATTTCACTACCTCTCTTAAGAGCCTAAATTCTAAAATATACCCAGCAAATGTCCCATTAACACTTGATCATTCACTTTTCTTTACTGTTGGGTTGGGAATAAACCCATGTCCATCTTGCATAGCTGGTAATGGGAGCAAAGTAGTGGCTTCTGTAAATAATGTGACATTTGTTATGCCAACCATTGCTTTACTCCAAGCACAATACTTCAACATCAAGGGGGTGTTCACCACTGATTTCCCTGCAAATCCTCCTCAGGTTTTCAACTACTCAGGGAATCCACCAGCAAATTTGCAAACCACAAATGGCACCAAGCTTTATAGGCTATCATTCAACTCCACGGTTCAGATTGTTTTGCAAGATACCGGGTTCATTTCCCCTGAGAGCCATCCAGTTCATCTTCATGGGTTCAATTTCTTTGCTGTTGGAACAGGAATAGGAAACTACAATCCCAAAAAGGATCCAAATAACTTTAACCTTGTAGATCCGGTTGAGAGGAACACAATTGGAGTTCCAACTGGAGGGTGGACTGCTATCAGATTCAGAGCAGATAATCCAGGTAAATATGTTTTGGGTCCTCGACAAAAATCACGGGATCATTTTAATCCCTGAAAAAAAAAATCAACTTGTGATTCTTTTAAAATTTAAAATAGACTCAGTTAGTCGAAATTGTGATCCCTCTAAATTTAAAGAAGACCTATGTTAGTCCCTCAAGAGAACTAGCCTAGCCTGATCTATTTTGAATTTTAGATGAATCACGAGTCGACTTTTTTTTTTAAGAAATTAAATTGGGTCCAATAATATTTGTTGAGGACTAAAAGATAATATACTCTAATCTTAAAATCTCATTTTCACACATAAGGGTCATTCTTAAAAGTTCAATTTCACTTCATAATTTATTTATTTATTTATTTTCTAATTCTATGTATTTGATAGGAGTTTGGTTCTTGCACTGCCATTTTGAGGTGCATACAACATGGGGGCTAAAGATGGCCTTTTTAGTGGACAATGGTAAAGGTCCTAAAGAATCAGTGATACCACCACCAAAAGATCTTCCAAAATGTTAATACTTTAAGCCATAAATTAAATTCTACACAAATAATAGAATGCCTTTCAACTTAAAAAGAAGCTTTTGAAGGATACAGAGAAGCCAGGCAAAAGAAGAGAATGAAAACGAGGATGTTTATTTAATAAGCTGAGTGCCCCCATTTTGTTTTTTTGTTTTTTTATCAAACGGGAGAATTTCTTGAAGCACGTTCTGTGAATTGGAACCCGCGTTTTGGTTTCCCTTGTACAAGCACCTTTTTTTTTTATCTTAGTACGGTTCATATGTATTGGAGTCAATAAGTGCAATATGAACACTCAATATGAAAATAGCTTAATATGAACACCGATTTATTTGTACTATTTTTACTACACTTGTACTTTTTATTATCCTTATACAATTGCTGTATTTTTCTAGGATTTTAAATAGGTGTAAAGAGTTACTTGTATGATACATATGTATAAATACAAAAATTCTTCAATATTCTCTTTTTTTTCAGTTTCTCATCGTCATCCTTAGCACTCAATCTTCTCACCACGTCTTCCCCTGATTACATCAAAAGCAAGTTATTTAACTCAACTATAAAATCTAAAATGACTAGGCAGGGATTTTATTATTTTTTTTTGGGATGGAGGAGAGAGGGGGTAAAATAGCATATCTTAACTTTACCAAAAAAAAAAAATAGCATATCTTAAAAAAAATTTATTTATGAGAAAAATACTAGAGTTACTTTTTTTAGGGGGGTTTAGCTTTTAAGAAAAACTTATTTATTTTGGAATTTTTAGACACTTTTATAATTAAAAAAAATACTTTTCTCTAAAAAAATACAAGAAAGAATTTCAAAACTATAGGATTTCTCAAATCAACCATTGGATGCCCCTTGCTCTCTCATGCTACGAAAAGATAAACCTTTTTTTTAAAAAAAAAAAAAGAAAAAAAGAAAGAAAGAAAGAGACCATAGAATTTTTTTCTTTTCAACATTGGACTAGAGTGAGGAATCAAATTTTCATTAAAGAAAAAGGATTTGATAAATTACAATTTATCACGAGTCAAAAGATAGTCAATATTTAAGTTGGCCATTTTGGCAGGATATCTGAGTGGCTTACCCAAAGCACAATTTAATTTAATTTTTATTTTGGAGCATTTGAGGCAAACCAATGATTCAAGCCACCAACAACGAAAGCCACCAACAACAAGCACAACCCAAAACTAGCTAAAAAACAACAAAAGCAAAAAGAATCACACCCATAAGGTGCCTACCTGCTTGCCTTCTTTTATGGGGGCATGGTTTACTGCATTTATATCCAACTGAGCGGAATTTTAATTGTCTTTCTACTAACTTCATCAACAAAAAATTTCATTTAAATGTGAAGTATAAACCATACCCAACAATAAGGTAGTTTACTAGCTAGATCAATCTTTTATGTTATTATGTAGGTTACCATGCATCTGTATGGTAAGACATCCACCATCAGATATATAACCCTGGCTTTAGCTAAAATTTGTTAGTTTTCTTCTTCCTTTACTAGTCTTCCCCTTTGTATTAAAAAGAAAATTATTTTCTTAGTTAAAGTACTTTAATATATATATTGAAACCTTTAATTTATGGGTTAAAAGTTTCTCCTTTTAAAGGATGTAACTTATGTTCTTTTAACAATTTATAACTATGTATTATAAGTAGTATATAATTATAATATTAAAATTATATTTTTTTCATTTTTCACATCAGCAAATAGTGTTTGGAGAGAAAGAAAAAAAATACAATTTTAATATTATAATTATGTACCACATTTAGTACATAATTATAAATGGGTTTTATAATTCTCATGTTGATTGAGAATTGAAATCTTATGTTGTAGAAATAAAAAAATGTGGGATCCATATGTTAGAAAAAATTTATATATAGAACCCTTGTCAGCACAAAAATCGAATGGTGTGTAGAAAAATTTCAATTCTTATATTGAATGAGAATTATAAAATCCATTATAAATTACATCCGTACAAACCATTTTCCCTTCATTTATATTATAAGTTTATGATAATACAGAATGGACCAAATTTTATTTTTTCTAACAAAGTTGCCATCCCTTACTTCAATTAGTGGCGGCCCCACAAAACTGGCATGCCCATTGGCTAATTACTGTTGAGATCTCCATGGGATGCCCACACTGTCTCTATGTTATATCGTATGTAGAAACCAATGAGAGCACATTTTATTGGAAGGTGGGTGTGGTGTGATCTGTGAAGGTGTATTAGCATTTGTATGGAAAAGTTAATCAATGCCACAACACCTTGCAAGTCTGATTCATACTTGTAGAAGAAATGGGAGCACAAGTTTTAGTGTTATAGTAATAATTGTTACGTCATTGGAGCCTACAATAAGGGAAAATCTATTATTATATGGGTTACGTTATGGATTTTTTATGATAAGTGAATATATCTCAATCTAAAATCTTAAAGGCATTATTAGAGTTATAATCCTTCCATTTATATGATTTTCATTATTAAAATTATAATCCTTCCAACATTAAGCTCAGTTAACATGGTTCCATCAATTTTTATTTTAAGGAAATAGTTTTCTCATTTTACATGAGAAAATTTTTTTATGCTACACTCACAATATATGAATGGGTCTCATCTTGACTTTTTTATCTTACCACTTTTTTGTGAACCTCACTCATATATTGTGTGTGTAATATAAAAAAAAAAATTCATATAAAATGAGAAAATCAATTCTCTTTATTTTAATATGAAAATATTTCCATCACGAATCGTCCATATGTGGTTGTTGTGGTTTCTGATACTAATGTCGTGTCATTTTCAAGAGGGTAGATAGTGACACATTCACCTAAGGTATCTAGCTTAGTGGGAGACAAGAACTTTAGAATTTTGTTTTAACTAAAAGGGATTGCAAAGCCATTTTGAGAACACAAAAATTAAGAATTAATAATAATATGAAAATATTAGGAGAAAGAAAGATAGTCATTTTCTATTTTTTTTTTTTTTTGTAGGTAATGAGGGTTAAAACCCAAACAAAAAGACAAAAGAAAGGAAAGAAAAGAATATGAAAGCAAAACGAAAAGGTTAAGCTAGCACGGTAAAATATGTAGTCATATTGTAAGGTTAATGCATATGTTATTACAGTAATAGTTACAATGATCAACCAATAAATGAAACTCAAACTCGAAACATTTTGATAGCACGATAAAGAATCATTTCAATATAAAAGTTTAAGGGTTTTATAAGAGTTATGTGGTAGAAAAAATGATTGTGTTATGTTATAGAGATTCGTTTTGCATGCCGTAGTTTTTTTTTCTTTAAAACATGGGAGTCTCACAAAATGTTGTGTGTGTAGGAAACTTTTTGTTGAGATATTCAAGTGTGATGAGTCCCACATTGGTTGGTAATGAGCTAAGTGAATAGTATATAAGTGAAATGACTCATGAACCCAATGCCTTAAGGTTTTGGGTTGAGACATGGTGTCGGATCCACTTGCTACGGTTGGTGTAGCCTTAGCTCATTGGTGGTGGTTCCCCGCCACGGGCTTCCCTGGACCTGCTTGACATTGGAGTTTGAGGGAACGAATTTCCCAACAGTGGTATCAGAGCCGGATTGGGCTCGAGCTAGCCTAGTGATTGGCTAGGAGGCGGGTCGAGTACTTTGCGCTTCGGGTACTCGGTTGAGGGGGAGCATACCAATGGTGGGTTTCACACTTGAGGGGGAGATTGTTGAGATATTCAAGTGTGATGAGTCTCACATTGGTTGGTAATGAGCTAAGTGAAGAGTATATAAGTGAAAGGACCCATGAACCCAATGCCTTAAGGTTTTGGGTTGAGACATGGTGTCAGATCCACTTGCTACGGTTGGTGTAGCCTTAGCTCATTGGTGGTGGTTCCCCGCCACGGGCTTCCCCTGGACCTGCTTGACATTGGAGTTTGAGGGAACGAATTTCCCAACACTTTTTGTGGTCATGTTAAATGATGAATGCAAATCCCAAAGTTTAAACTTTTAAATGAGGTTATATTAATAGTTTAATACTTCTTTGACATGTCCTTTTACACAAAAGCTGACTTGAAGGGTGGATGACGTATCAGCCTCAATCTATCAATTTTAAGAAATTTTATAATATTTAAATTATTTTAATGAAATTGAGACAATAATGATCGAACTCATGATGACCACTTAGTTATGTTCGCTCTCATATCATGTAAAGAGCAATTTCAATCCAGAAACTTAAACTTTTAAATGAGGTTATATTAATGATTTTATAATTCTATAATAAGCATTATTTGATTCTATCAATTGATACAAGTACTAGCTAGTAAATTAAAACTGATATTAATGTCATAGCAAACTCAAAGAGTTAAAATTTATGGATATATTAAGGCCTCAAAGAGGTAATAAAGACCTATACAAAAAAAAAAAAATTGATATTAGAATCTGATGCTTAACCGGTGGTTAATAGCCTAGGCTTTACTAAACTACATCACTTTCAGATCACATTTTGAAGTCATGATACATGACTGTTATGACTAATCGTAGTTATGAATTCTTTAAATAAATGGATGATTGTTATGACTCTATCTTTATCTTTGAATTAATTTATTTACTTTTTTTTTTTTGAGTTTATATATTTGATATAGTCTGGACATAAAATATTTTACACTATCATCTAATAATATATTAGATGATGCATTCATACATTATACAAGGAGAAATAATGCTTTATCCTCTTAATACTTAATGAAAAAATATTAAACTATAAAGTAAATGCAATTAATATATTAAAAATATAAAACTAATTAAATTTTTTTCATTTATTAATTACAAGAATTATTACAAAGGTTGGAAAGAAGTATACAAATTTTTTCTAATTTCCCAAGTAGTTTATGTGACAATCAAAGTTCTTCATTGATTTGATAATCTAAATATTAATATAAATAAGCTTTGTCCTAACAATAAATTAATCATTTAGGACAAACTTACACCGGGAAAGCATTATTTTATTTTATTTTGAAATAAAAGCATTATTTTACATTAAATAAAAAAAATACCCATTTCAATTTTTATGAGTAATCCATAAATTCTTTCTATAAATATATATTTATCAAACTATTTGTCTAACTGATTTACTTTTATAAGGGACTTGATTTTCTCATGTTGCATGAGAATTCAATTCTCATGACATTTATTAAAAAAAAAAAAATTACACACAAATCAAAGAATATGAGAATTGAATTCTTATTATACATGAGAAAATATTTTTCTATTTTATAATGCACTCTTTTGGAATTCCAAAACTCGTTAATATAGTATATTTGCATATCATTCTAGTTCCACTTTTGTTCTTGTTAGGTTTATGTGAATGTTAACGAATCACGACCTCTATGTAGCATAGAGTCGACACGTTCGTCGTCTCACTCAAAACCCAAACCGTAGATTGTTTTTCTTTTTCTTTTTTTTTTTGAAAACTTTGTATATGTTTTTCTGTACTTTTCAAAATTGGTCCTTTTTAATTTTTTCTCTGAAAATTTTATAGATTTTATATGAACTAATTTAGAATTTATCATATTAAAACTTTAAATTCATCTCAAAAACAATATAAAAAAAATAAATATCAAACAGATACTTCTATCTCAACTGTTCAATTCTCTTGAGGCAAATCAGCTATCATCGTTTGGTTTAGTCTTTTGTCTCACTAACTTCCTATCTCTCTCTCTCTTTCTCATCCTTTGTGCACTCTCACTCTCAGCCCCCACAAACATCCTCTGCACCAATCACAACTCAGACCCTTTGACCCTCTCTCTCTCTCTCTCCCTTCTTCCGTGTTCTATAGATCGCTGTCTTTCAATCAGTAGCTGACACATATCTGTTCACATTGTACTCCTTTTGCATTTGCTAGCTGCTCTAACAACCACTTCTTCTACTTCAACTCTTCTTAAAGTTGATAGCTTTTTGCTTTTCTAAATTCCCCTCTTCTCTGATTTTTCTTCCTAACAAGATTCTAGCACCAAAAAATATATATGTATCTTCTATGCTCTTGGGAACTGTCCCAATTATTGAGTGTCACTCCAATAACCTCAGGGGTTGGGAGAACCTCTGCACATTTTGGTGTCTATCTTGTAAATTTTTGATTAAGGGTTTTGCTTTTTCTTTTATCTTTTTTTTTTTTTTTTCTCATTTGGTTGTTTTTTTGTGATTATTATTTCCTCTTCTCTTAGATCTGAGTAGCTTCTTTACAAGGGTTTATGCTTTGCCCATCATCTTTCAAATTTGGAATTTTCCTGACTTTTTGGAAATAAAGCAACAGATTCCTTCCAAATGCTTATTTGATTATATGCTTCTTTAGCCATAAGAAGCTCTACTCCTCTGCATTTCCTCTCTGGGTTATCTCTCTCTCTTTGAACTTGTCATTGAGAGAGAGAGAGTTAGATTCTACAATATTGTTTTGACATGCTTGCTATGTACAATTGTTCTCTAGAACAATGAATAGGGGAATTGAAGTTCTCTCTCCAGCCTCCTATCTCCAAAATTCAAATTGGTTGTTCCAGGAAAGCAAAGGAGCCAAATGGACTCCACAAGAGAACAAACTGTTTGAGAATGCCTTGGCCTTTTTTGATAAGGACACCCCTGATCGATGGATGAGGGTGGCAGCCATGATTCCAGGCAAAACTGTAGGCGATGTGATTAAACAGTACAAAGAACTTGAAGAAGATGTGAGTGTCATTGAAGCAGGTTTGATCCCAGTTCCTGGGTATAGTACTAGTTCTTTCACATTGGAGTGGGCTAATGAACAAGGCTATGATGGGTTCAAGCAATTTTATAGTGTTGGTGATAAAAGGGGTGCTTCCACTCGGCCATCTGAGCAGGAAAGAAAGAAAGGAGTGCCATGGACTGAAGAGGAGCACAGGTAATTGCATGTCATAACCTATTTTTGGTTTATTTATTATATATTTGTTGAGTGTTTATAATGGAGGAAGAAGCATTGGTTTGCTAGAATGTAAAAATCTTTGTAGTTAATTAAGATGTTTCTTTATAGGTTTTTTAAGCTTTGGATAGATGATTTATATAGTTTGTTGAGTGCTTATAAATCAGGCTCTAGTTGATTAATACTTGATTTTTCCATGACAAATGCTTTTCTTGTTGGTTACTACTAGAATTTGCATATTTGCCTAAAGTCAAGGTGTTTGCTCTTTACCTATTTTAATGTGGGGATTGTTTGCTTATTAAACCACCACAGGCTATTTCTGCTTGGTCTCAAAAAGTATGGTAAAGGGGACTGGAGAAATATTTCTAGGAATTTTGTGACAACAAGGACACCAACTCAGGTTGCAAGTCATGCTCAAAAGTATTTCATAAGGCAACTTACAGGAGGGAAGGATAAGAGGAGATCCAGTATCCATGATATCACAATGGTTAATCTACCAGAAACAGAAACTCCTTCATCAGACAGTAACAGGCCTTCTTCTCCTGATCACTCAGTTAAGGTTGTGAATCCACAGCAGAATCAGAAATTTTCTTGCATGCTTAAACAAGAATATGACTGGAAATTACCACACAAAGGCATGCCAATTGTTTTCAACTCAACAAATAGAAACATGTTCATGGCACCATTGCATGGGATTTCTTCATGTGAATCTAAGCCACAGGAGCATAATTTACTCAGAGGCACTCTCCATGGGTGCCAGTTTTCACCTTACGATAATATCTTGCAAATGCAACCAATGCAACATCAATGAACCATGCATGTGATGCAGGGTTAGAGTTTTGAAGGTACTAAAATTCTTAACCTTATTCAGTGATGTTGGATTGCTTTATAGATGGTTTATGTGAATATGTTGAGGGGGACTACAATTAATTATTAGAATCTATAACGAGATTAGTTCATATCATGTTCTGATATTCAACTTCTGGGATTAGGTTGTCAAAGAGAAGTTAAGTTTGGGCTTGTGTACTACGATTTTCTGGTTACTTGTTTGGTAATTTGATTATAGTTAGATGGCAGATTTGAGTGATCCTGCATCTGATGTGCATCTTTCTACATAGGCAGGAGTTATCTACAGAATGCCCTGAGCAAGAGGAGTTATCTCTTAACTTTTTATGAGATGCTTCAAATAAGTATGCAGTTCCAAGTTCACAAGGAATTAAACAAAGGCATCAATCTTATTGATGTTAGTGGTGTCATTTGAAGCAAAAGAATATATTTGGGGTGCTAATTTTTATAAGCCTACATTAGGTGTGTATTTAAAGCCTTAAAAGTTAAAAGTGTGATTAGACCAGAAAGCTTTTTTAAATGTGGTAAGGAATTGGGCAGAGTTGTTGGTCCTCATGTACTATAAAGAAATGTGATTTATCATGAAGCATTTGATTTGAAACATAATGTCTTGGAACCACTAGTTCTACAAACTGGTGGACATTAAGATCCCAGCAAAAAGTCCACGATTCTGAAATAGGTCATTGTTTTATGTGCTACCCCTATTTGAGTCCACGAATTACTTTTGATTCTATGTAAGTTCAGTTAGTCTACAATTGATTATGTTGATGTTACGTGGAGAATGAATATTGATAGTGATTAAGAATTTTAATGCGCGGAATGATCAAAGTAAAGAATCATCCTCTCACCCTGGAGAAGAGTTTTGGTGCATCCGGAGTATCAAATCTTAACTGGTTCAAATCAATAAACATGTGACAATTAATCAGGAGAGAGAAGAGAAGACAGAATAAAAAAAATTATACAAGTGTCAATCTCTCAATGAAAAAAGTGTCAATCTCTCAATGAAAAGAGCATATGAAGATAGGAATACTAAGAAAATTTCCCTCACTCTCGTGCTTTTCTGGGCAAGTTGAAGTAGTTGATTTGTACACTAGGCCATGTCATCATATGGTTGGTCCGCAATTGCCAAGTCGCATAGCATTTTTTTCTTTTTCTTTTTCTTTTTTGTTTAGAGGATAGGTTATTTTACCTACTCTTATCTTGTCTACCTTTGCATATCTCTCTTAACACCGTTAGATTACAATCTCATCCAACAGTGAAGGTTTACAGAATAAAATAAATTTTTTCCCTCTTTCTTTCTCTTCACTGTCTTCCACACTTTCCATCTCCTCTCCTTTCTCTCTATCGATTTGTGTAATTTACAACTTGAATTTATATTTGAATTTAAATTTACGCAATGATTAATGGCAGGATAAATTTGTTGGATGAGTATAATTTTCAAAATTTCTTGAATATGATATAATTGAACATGACATAAACCAAAAAAATTTGAATCTAAATCCTTGAATCTGATATATTTCAAAATACATGATTACCGCAAGGTTTCTATTTTGCTGTTGAAATTTGAAATCGAATCAACTTATCTCCTTCTTCTTATTTTGTTTTTCACATTGAAGTGGGAAAATGATCTCTATTTTTCTATGTTACGCTCAACAACAGATCTACATGGTTCCATAACATAGAGCATTTGAGTTTGTTTCTTCTTGACACCCCATTTAAATTTTTTATGTAAAATACTCATAGCAATGGCTGGGTTGGATGAATTAAGAAAAAAGTTTGCACCTTTTTTTATGATGAAGTGCCATTGAAGGAGAGAGAAAGAGGAGGAGGGAGAAAGAGTGAGAGGCAATGGTAGAGAAAAAGGAGTAAAAGAGTTTATTTTATATTATAAATCTCCACCGTTAGATGAGATTGTAATCCAACGGTATTAAAAGAGATAGACAAAAGTACACAAAATAAGAATAACATATCTTTTGTTTAGGAATCCGAACACATATTTCTTAACACAACTACTTAAACCCCACCATTAGGTTAACCCTAGTGACTACATAGAATTTCTTCAAAGTGACACACAAACGTACTTTGTTGCCTTACTTAATTTGACTTAAAAAAAATATCATTTAGAGTCAATTTGCCTCTTAAATAAGTTAATGAAAATATATTAGTTTTCAAATTTTAATTAATTAAAATCGCTTATATTTTAAATCAAAATTACGATAAATAAAAAATTATATTCTCTTGCATGAGATTCATTACTCATGTTATAAAAAGATATGCTTCTTTTTTTTAAATAAAAATAAAAATTGATGAATCTCATTTTATTTGTCTCACAACATAAGATAATTTCTCTCCTACTACACGAGAAAAGTAAAGCTCATGATAAATATGAACAAACTATTTCTATTTTTGTTACAAACAAAAATTTCTATCACATTCACATAAAAATAAGTAGGTTTCACAAAAAATAAATTTTTTTTTTATAATGGATTTTATTGTCTTTTACATAAATGTGACAGGAAAAATATTTTGCACAAAAAAATAGAAAAATTAAATCCAGAAAATATATGTTGAAAAAAATATTTGTCCTTTTAAGTGACGTAACTTGTATCATCTTACTCTCATAAAGAGGTAAGACTTATATCTTTATTTATTTTTTTATCCATTCTCTTCCTCTTTATTTATCCTTTTCTCTTACTTAAAATGAGATACGTTTATATCATTTAAAATAACACATGCATATAATAATAGTGGAAATGTGGTGACTGGGATTGATGTCGAATAGAGGCAATAAATGAGAGTTAAACGATGACCGCAGAGGAAACTAGTGGCCACATTTTGAGCATCTCCTGCTGCACTGTATCCTTTTTTCACTTTGTTCTCCCCAAAAGCATCTAAGTATTTTCTCTTCGTTCTTTATTTTCTTCTCTTTGGACGTGGAACGTTTATTTTACTTTACAATATTTAGTGCGTGTCCCTGTCGCCATATTTCCTTCGGTGTCAAACGATGACTTGTTTTTCCCACATTAATCAGCTGTCAAGTCATTACTCAGGAAACCATAATGTCATGCTGCTACAGTGCTACTCAAATTCCAAATAATATTTATTCGTATGCCTTTCAGTGGGGCAATATGTTGGATTCTGTTGATCAAAAAGCAAAAACAAAAAACAAAAAATAAAAAATTAGAGGTGTTTCGGGTTGATGAATCTGGTTTGGCCTATCAAGCTAAAACCCATATTGGCCCAATATTTTTATTTTCGAAATATGTTAAACAAGATATTAAAAATGTCATCACTCAATACTAGGGGTAAAAGTGGGCCGGACTGAGCCAAGTTTTGTCCTGAAAAGTCCAAGCCTACGTCAAAAAATTTGAATTTAGCCTGGCTCAAGCCTAGTATGAGTCTAACTGTTAGCCTGGCTTGACCCGTTTATAAAAAAATAAATGGCCTGCCTTGGCCCGTTAGCCTGTTAATTTTTAACTTCCATGCAGAACCATGAATCAACTTTACAAAGTACTCAAATTCTGTTGCTACACCAAAAATCATAATTTCAACGTCCAAACAGAATTATGAATCATAACAAAACTCATACAATATGCATTTAATTCATTTTCAAAAATAAAATGCTCAAACTAAATAATATATATTTCATCAGATCCAACAAACAAATCCATACTATGTAAATTAAAATAACTACATGAATTCAACAAACACATCATGATGTTTGTAGTAAGTATAACATTTACCAAAATTCTTTTAATATATTCATATACACAATCAAACATGTTGAGATGTTGATTCCTCCTATATAAGAAATAAAGTAAGATTTCTATTAAAATATAATCGAATATAATTAAGTTATAAATAATTAAGTTATAAGATTTCTTTGAAGTTTTTTCAGTTATCTTCAAAGATAGTATATTATTTCAAACTAGGGCAAGCTTTCAAAGAAACCCAAGCATCGCGATTGCTGCCCTTTTCAATGGCGTTCCGAAATGCCACAAAAGGACAGAAAAATACTTGGCAAGAATATGCGAACTCGTTAACTCAACAAATCAGTTCAAAAACTCAAAGAAAACACAACTCGTTGGGATGGAGTTGAGAAGGGGCAATATCAAGATAATGAAGAACTTCTATCTAGAACTTAGAAAAGGGTAGTCAAATTCCAAGTTCCAAGAGTAAACACTTGTCCACAAAGAAAAGAGCATCCTCACCTTCTCCAAAAGGCGAGCAAACCCCTTCGTTTTCACTGGGGGCTTCAACCCCGAAGGAAGTAATTATTGGGTCATTAGAGAGAGATAAAGAACCTAATGCAAACTGCAAGGCAGCCAGATCATTTTCATAAGATGAATGAAGTCCTAAAGCTTCTTCATCCACCGACTCCAAGCCCATCAAGTTAGGCGGAGGAATGAAACGAGAAGCGGAAAACGAGCGGTAGGGTCAATTTCTTGGCATGTACTTGAAGAAAAGCCACAATTAGTCTCTAACTCGAAAATTGAATAAAAAGACAAAGAAGTATCATAAGCCAGTTGAGGACATAAGGATACTCTAATTCGCATAGAACCCGGCAAAGGAAAGAAAGGGGCTCTACGAGAATGCCTAAAACCCCCATAAGGAGAAACACAACTTTTTTCCCTCAAATCAAAGACATTTAACTAGTTAAAGAAATCTCTCTCACTCAAGATACCCTTTAATCTACCTTAAGTGTTCATTAAGCTCTTGTAGTAATTGAAGATGCAACTAACAGTAATAGAGAATCCAAGCAGCAACTAACAAGTTCAAAGAATACAGGCAAAGAAATAAGCATACAAGAAAGAGAAAGAAAGTTACTTGTAAATGTAATGAGATGACTTGGTAGCGCTTCGAAAGCAAAGAATGATGAGAACTTAAGATAGCGACAGTAGCGAGAAACGTTATGAAAGACCGATAAAAACAGGAAGTGAAAGAAGAAAGCCAAAGAAAAGAGAAGAGAATAAAGAGAAAGTGAAAGAAAACAAAAATGAAGTGATATACTAAGTTAAAGATGTTGTTTCGAATTTCGAAATCATGAAATGATTTCTCCTCGCACCGTTTTAAAAGACCAAGACTAATTAGGGAGTGACACATGGCATACATGACGTTCAACATTTAATATGACGTAACCATTCGATAGACACAACTTCTAAGGTAAAGACAAATCACAATATTAGCATCTCGGAGCACCCTTCCCTTGATACTCCGAGCTGGAGGGCTTAATGTTCCGGGTTGATGAACCCGGTTAGGCCCATCAAGCTAAAACATGCATTGGCCTAATACCTTTATGCCCGGAGTAACATGAGCCCGTATTAAGGGGCCATAGGCCATGAATTTAGATGGTCGGATTATAAGACAGGACCCCGGATCGTGCGTATACTTTTGTACTCTGTATTGATAAAACCACCACCCACATAACCGCTATGACAATTATGCATCATTGCGATAACTATTCCACATTCATTAGCAATAGCTGCAGGATAGGACCATTATAAATACTAAAATAGTACCAATAGAGATTATCCAGATTCATTCACTCATATTAAGCAGATACACTTAAAGTAGAACCTATATTTGGTGTTCATACTGAACAAAAGGGAATGAATTATGTAATATGTTTTTCACAAAATCAAGTCACATGAAAGGTTTTGAACTATTGATAGATAAATTAATATTTTGTCTTATTTTATTTTCTAATACTTTTTCTCTTTTATTTTTATTAATGTTAATTTATTTATTAATAATTAAAAATATTTCACATACTATAATAATGTCAAATCACGTACGAGAGGATCCATTCTCGAAATTATAAATTAGGAATAGGTTTAAATTTGCAATCTAATGCTTGACGACACTTTACTTAAAGGCGGCAATGTTAACTACATTCATGAGTTGTAAAATGTGGAGTGAAACTCAGTGCATGTTTGAATTATTTTTTTAAAAAATGATTTTTATTATTTTTAGAATAAAAAAGCTTATTTAATAAGGTCTATTTTATAAAAGTAATTCTAAAATTTATAGCAAATTTTTAATTTTTAGAATCAAATTTAAAAAATATATCTCGGTTGTTTTTATTTTATATTATAACTTTTAACTTTAAAAAAAATACATATTT